CACAAACACAGTTGGATTATTGGTACCGCTTAGATAGACATTATTTATATTCAGTTTGCTGGCATGCAGCACGATTTGGTTAATAGCTGTCGTCGTGTTCACGCGGATCAATATTTGGCCAGTAAAGTTACCCGTATCTATTTCAGGATGTAGATAAAGATCATAGTTGATTGGATAAATGCTGTCGGGAAGTCTATAGTTTATCTAGCCAGGAGTACAAAAGTCAATTAAGTAATTAATTTCTGTAATAAATTTCAAAAGTTGCAACTCACAACTTCTGGTGCTGGTGTTGTAGTCTCCGGCAGCGTAGTGGTTGTTGTGGATGTGGCAACTGTTGGCGCTGTAGCAGTGGTCGCAATAGTGGTGGTAGTGCCAGCAGTTACAGTGGTCGTACCAGGCCCAGCTGTAGTGGCGGTTTGCAACTGATCCAATTCGTCACGTGCCTTATCTAACTCATCCTGCAGATTCGACTTTTGCACAGCTAATACAATCGTGGATACCGTGAATGCAGTGAGAGCTAATCCCAAGCCTATTGCCACCAATTTTGCGGTGATAATCATTGCGTACGAAACTAATTGTCATTAACGATAGCAACTAAGTATACGAGAATAATTCAAATTGAAGGGCTACCAACAAAACAGCACCTTCCCGCACGGCGTCTTAGCCGAAACTAATTCTATTGCAATATTTCTCGAAAAGGCCAATTAATTGTGGCTGATGTTATCACATCACTATTCGCTCTTTATCAAACAGCTTGCTTAATCTAATCGCAACTGCTGCTAACTAAAATACATATGTATGTGCTCAATAGGGTGGTCCAAAAAAAAAAATGAAGTTGAAATTTTAACGCTCTCACTCTTGTTTTATATCGAAAAAATGTACACCCCCATTTTGTTCATTTTGAAATCAAAAACAGTTTATTTAGAGGTCGCTCAAAGCGTTCAAAGTTTTCTATGTATTTTACATGTGAAAAAAACAACCTTTCATAGAAATGGTATAGAATTTTGAAAATCAATATTTTTCGATCGAAGAACTCTAGTTCTTTTCAGAAGACTTCCAGTAATAATATCCAATTGTTTATTTTAGAATTTTTTAATACCAGTGATTTTTTATGGGTCCCCTATAATATAGTTAAAAATAAAGAATGGTTAAACAAACAATTCGGGATTATTGCTAAAAGTCTCCTGAAGAAAAACACAGTTTTCCGATCGAAAAATATGGATTTTGAAGAACGCTATACCATTTCATCGAAAACTTTTTTCCCCCCATATAAAATACATAGAACACCTTGAGCGACCTCTAAATAATTTTTGATTTCATAAACAATAGGGTTCTAAGTTCTTCGGTATAAAACAATCTTAGGTGGTGAGAGCATAACAATTCCGACTTTACTTCTTTTTTTTTACCCCCCTAATATCTATACATACATACATATGTATTGAAGGATATATGTATGCACTTAAAAACGGATATGAATAAGATGGATACGTCAAAGTCAATATGTATATTATTCGATCGTGTACAATGCCGCGTATTTGCCATAAATACGGCAATGAGTCCATTGTTACTTTTGCTTTTGGTAATCTATACTACGTAGTAAACATAATTCGTAGTATATAAAATAGGGTCTGCATAGTTAGACCATTTATCACTCAAGAACGGCTGCACAGATTTGTATGATCTTTGATTTGTTGAATTTGTCCCGCTCCGAATAGCAGAACAAAAAGAGGAAAATTAATTTTTCCTTACATTTTGTATTTTTGTGTATTTTTAAATTGACTAAATAATAAAAGTACAAAATTTTTAATAAACGATAGCAATAATGCAATTTTACAAAAACAAAAAAAGGCCAGTTTTTATTTTCTTATATATACAGGGTTTATAGGTACTACGTACCATAAAAGTTTCGTTTGGTATTTTTCCTTTCTTAAGCAGAGATCACACGATTTGTACATTTGTTCATTTGGCCGTCACTGGGTGGTGTTGTCTAGAAATTTTTATCGATAATCAGTTCAGCTCAGTAACGACTCTCCAAACAACACCACTCTGTAACGGTGTAAATGGCCAAATCTGTAGAAATGTATTAATCATGTGTTGCCTGCTTTAAGAATAGTATTCTGTTTCTGTTGCACGTGAAAAATCTGCCAAATTGCTTATCAAATTTATTTCTGTGGAATAACTATGAAATACCACAACATTTCCTCAACAAAGTACTGTATTCTGTACACGTTGTGATAAAGCTTGCAACATTTTGGCAACATGAAGCTAGCAACACAATTTTCATAGCAATTTAAAACATAGCAAAACCGCCCATCGACTAGTTGCAAAACCGCCTAAATCTCCGTTGTGGCAAAAATTAGATTTGGCAACCCTGAACTGCAGGCATCGCGAATACAGTCATTGCGACTTTGGAATTTTTCGCGCGGTCCAGGGATTGGCTCCGATGCAGCCATTAGGCAGCAATTTCATTTCAATTACCTAAATCCCGAAATCTTATTTCGCTGAATTTTCAATAAAAAGATCGATGGGTATTGTACATATGTATTTCTTTATTAGATTTCAATTCTAAATATGATGAAATTTCCTCCTTGTTACTATTCAAACGCTGTTCTCCTCCAACCATGAGCCAATCCTATTCTTATTATTCGATAGCCACACAATATTGTTCTTCACTGTCTCCAAAGAGCGTACACGTGCTGCTGCACCAGCACCAGCCTCTGGATATTTAGCAAAGAATTGCTCCATTTCCTCCAATTTGGTTTGCTTGTCGAAGCGTGCAGTGATTGTCGGAATCAAGTTGCCTAAAGTGCGTTCGTTGATGCCGAAGCGTTCAACCAATTGCGGCCATTGTTCGCGCACATAATCCCAGACGATGGATTCACCTACAGGATTGGCGGAAATATATCCCAGACATGTGAAGTAGTCTTGACTGCGCACATTTTCCTCGGACCAAGCGAGATTCACATAACTAAGTAAAATGAGATTGAAACGAGGACAAAATTAAGAGTAATTTANAATGCATCACTAACTTGCTCAAAATCCATGGGACTTGCACTGCGGCAAGGCCGTACATCAATTTCGATTTTTCGTTAGCATCCGTTTCGGCAATAAAAAGTTGCCACATAGCTTGCCATGCATCCTCATTGCCAATTGCTGACATGCCGTAATAGTAGATGGTTTCACGTATATCTGCATGTGGGCGTGTGGTTGGCTCAGCAAGCCATGCTGTGAAGCGTGTTGCAGCCTCTTCTAAACAAGATTCTAATCCAAGCGAACAGGCAGCGCTGAGTATAGTTTGACGCAAGCGGCTGTTTAAGCAGTGAAGCAGTGTATTATTTTTAGTTTACAATTTGTAGAAATTTCCCAAAAGTAGCATCACATTAATTACTCACTTTTCCAAATGATCCGTACCGACCGTCCATGTCACCTGCTCATAAATTGGCTGTATTAACGCAAGCGAATATTTCTTGTAATTCACATACGTTTCCGTGAACATTAACGAGCGCTTGAGTGTAGTCAATTTTGTGGCTGCCACACTCCAGGGCACATAGTCCGCCTCTTTGGACAAATAAGCCGTCATATCGAGTGCTATATCGTAGGAAAGCTGCGTGGCATCGGCCAATGAGAAGGCATCATTTAGAAGACTAGCGCGATCGCCAACGCTAAATGTCTGCAAAAGGATTACGTAATAAGTATTTAAGAGAACGAAAACTCAATTCCTTATTATAAGTTTTCTCTTTAAAAAGAACCATCCACGCAGAACCAATTATAAAAGGATTAGGCGATGAATTTGAACTTACCTCGGGGTCTGTAAGTTCATCCGCCAAATTTTGCCATAACTCATCGGAATAATTTACTCGATATAAACCAATTTGATCGTAGTTGAATTTGATCCATTGCACTGGGTTATCGAGGTTAATAAGAACTAAGTACATGAAATGAAAATGGAAATAAGAATTGAAAAAACAAGTCTATTAACAAAAAAAACTTTGAATTTAGTGAAGCGCGCAACCGCAAAAATTTATCAAACTTAAGCAAATTTAAAATTATAGCACAGTTACATAGTATACTTACGTTCCGATTCGTTATATAAGAACCATGCTCTTTGAATTTCCGCAGAGGAACTAGTTTTATAAGTAATTGGAATGGACCAGGTATAACTGATGGAAAAATAAAAAAGTATAAAATTAATGCTCAAAAGCTACATTGTGTAATTCCTCTACCAATATACATATGTATGTAGATACTAGGGATGCCAATTTTGGGATTTGCTGGTATTAATCCCAGAATCCGGAAAAATTTGAAAATATCGAATTGAAAGTAGGAACTTGTTTATGACTTTTGAAGTATGATTTTTGTGAAATGCCTGTTTGACTACAATTAACAAAAGGCTTGAAACTATACTTTTAAAATTACGCTTACGTAAACGAAACAGAAAGTTTTAAGAAAAAGTTTAAGTTTAAGTTAAGTTAAGTGCAATAATAACAACACTTTTTAACCATACCCACCTAGCAACATGTATTTCGATCCGCTGAATCCAAATCTGATGTCCGTTTTACTCGCAAACGCACAAAATTTCGAGTAAATTACAAAAATTGCGAAAACATGTCAAAAATTTCTTTTTTAAATTATTACTCTCAAAAGTACCTAGTATTTAAATTGGTATTTGTGATGTATGTGATACATGGTTTTTTAAATACAATTAAAAAAAATTATTAGTTCAAGATTTGTCTGTATTAATAGATATGTGATTTTTAAATGAGTTTATCGGGGATAATGGGACGATCCATAAAATTACAGAGTCAGAATTTTTCTGTTTCCTAAACATACGCTTGTAGGTAACTGTGAAAAGCGGCAGTGACAATACTGGAATATTGTCCACAATGGTGTTGACAATTGTCACTCTGACAAAGTTTTCGCGACAATAGCGACAAAACTAAATAGCTAAAACTAATAGATTACCGAGATTTATTAATTGTGCGCATTTCCTGAATATCCCATCTCAAAGGCTTCTAAACATGGTTAAAGCTATTTCGCTATCTCGTATCGTTTGATTTTGTGCGGCGTATACATAACTCAATGTACAGAGTAACTCTATTATTCTTCTCGCTGAAAACGTTATGGGACAAGCCCAAAATACAATAACGAAGTGACAGTGACAGTGGCAGTTTCGAAATCAGCTGTTTTTTTAGAAAGTGGGGTGTCCAATGCAGCGACTCACAATACAGCAGTGACAGCTAGCAGTACTGCTCAGTTTAGCCCAAATTCTAAATTCATTGCCACTGCCTTCATCGGCTGAAATGCAGCCAACTTCTGTTTATGTCATTGAAGCTTAAAAGGCAACAACAAAAATGTAAACAAACAAAAGGGAAAAAAGCAGTCACTGACAACGCCGTAGTGTGTTTGCTGCGCTAGTGACTGCCAATATTAGCAGTAACAGCTGATTATAAAAACTGTCACTGCCACTGCCACTGCGCTACTTTATTCTGGGCTACAATACTAAAGTTAGACTAGCTCTATTATTTAAAAAAGAAGCAAATGAGAAAAGAGTAGGGTGCAAAGCGTGGATGAAAAGAAAAAGGAACAGTCCAGCGCCTTCGTCTTGGTCTGCAGGCTGTA